GCTTATATTTGTTCAGAATATGGTATCATTCTTGAAAAAATGATGAATGCTATATTGACAAGTTCTGGTTTAACTTAGAATTTATGAGGGGAAGTTTTGATTTCCGTAAATTATGTTATCAATAAAATACATCAAAAGAAACTGATATGACACCATATGAATTATGAAAAGGTTGAAAACCTTCCTATAAATTAATAGAAGTGTGGGGGTGTCTAACTAAGGTTGTAGTTCCAACTCCTAAGAAAGTTAAAGTAGGACCTATAATATGGCGACCTTGTGGGTGGGTGTGCCGTGGACGAGTGCAAGAGGCACTGACATACTACCACACTGAGCGAGCTACATGTGCACAGTCCCACACTACCTATGTAAGGGAAATGTGAAGTGCTTTTATGTGGTTGGCGACTTTTTGGGATAAAATCCAAAAACAAAACCATACGGGCTCAGACCCAAAGCAGATAATATCATACTATGTGGTAGAATGGATCATTACATAAAACCTTTGATAGGTTATGCTCATAACATCAGTGCATATCATTTTCTTGTACATAAATCATACAATGAAAATAAGGATGAGCTCTACATCTTTTGGTCCTGATTTTCTAGCATGTTTATTGGAGAATGAGCCACAAAACTTTAAGGAAGCAAAGTCTTCTCCTGAATATTATTATTTCTTTGATTAGTTATATGATATAATTAATCATGTGGTATAATTTATGTGAGTTCATTTTTATTTATATAAGTGCTTACTTGTATTTAAGATTATAATATTGAACTATGTAATTGAATTACTTAATGTGCATAGTAATTCAATTTTACAATATAATTTATTTAATGTGTGATATTATTAATTTTTTATGAGTTCGTGACTGGTTTGTGTATTTAATACAATAGACAAAAATTTACTAGTCTAGCTATGTCAATTATCCCGATAGTTAAGGGAAAAAGATCTATACTAGTGTTTAAAGACACGTATAGTTGTGAATGGGTTGAATAAGATAAGATTTTCCGACAACTTTAAAGTGTTTAATAGAAAATGTTATGGATATAGTAAGCAAGTACACTGAGACAAGCTAAATCAAGCTAGTTAGCTATAATGTACAATTTAGCTAAAAGCTAAAATGTTACCTAAGTTGCAAACTAGTTAGCTTAGTTATAAGTTAAAATGATTAATGAGGTGTACAGAACCTAAGAGGAAGATGAAAATCTGTTAGTTAGTTCTTGCTCTCTACTTGATAATAAAAAACACAAGGGTGATGAGTAGCTGTTTTAGCCATAAGCTATTTGAGTTATACATCATATCTGCTCATGTAGGAGTGAATAATACTAATTGTAAAGTAGTAGTTTTTGAAGAATATTCTTGAAAACAAATTACTCTACTACCAAGATAGACTACTTAGATAAGTGTGTACTAAAGTTATGAGCTACTAGAATTGATAACTAAACAAACTTAACTTCAAGCTAGTGGTAATAGCTGAGAAGTGGGTGCTCATCATAACTTAGTAGTGAGATGTGAGAAGAGTGTACTTAATCTATGCTAGTAATGATAGCTATGAACTCACTTTTAAGTAGGAACTATAGCTGAGAAGAGAGTGCTCACTTTGTGGTGATTGTATCCAAAGCTTAAATAATAAGATAATTATTTGCTTCAATGATTGAGTTATGTGATGTGTGACACATGAAAGGTTGTGACATGTTAATACGACTGACTTAACATGAACCTAAACATGAATAACTCTATTCATAAATACAAGAGATGTAGAAGCAAATATTAATTAGAGCTCATTGTAATTAATATCTCACTCATTAATTCACAGTAACGTCTGTGACATATTATAAGAACAAGTTAGAGATAAAGTGAATATATATGCACTAGAGACTATTATATATGCTTGTTGAAAATCGAATATGGAACCTTGGAAAGGTAGATGAGATGAAATATTTAATATATGGTATTTCAAGAGTTGGAAAACCATAAGAAATATATCATATATAAAATTTCAGGATTATCCCAAAGTTATGGGGGGATATTGTCCATAGATGAAATTTGCTATGAGTTACCTCACCAGATAAGAAATACTTATAAATGTAGGGTTCTTAATCCTAAGAGATTTTGGATAGAACCAAAAATCATTTATAGTATTATAACAATAGTGCATGTTGTTTCCTATGAGGAAAATATTATGGAAAAACTAGTAGAGTTCTTTTTCCAGCAGAAGAGCTGAGTTATTTGTTCTAGTTGAAGAATAAAGTGTGTAAGCTTATAAGTCCTTGAGTGGATTAAAGCTGGTACCAAGACAATGACATAAATGTGATGTATAAGTCATTGTATGGCTTAAAAAAAAAAAATAATGATATACTAATTAGTATATTTGATATGAAAGATTTAACATCTGATAACATAATATATTTTCAATAAAGTGAGATTGAGATACTACAAGTTATGATAACAAAAGCCTAGATAACTTTTTGTAGATGTAAATCTCAAATATAAATACTAGTCAAAGTATATCATTGGTTGAGATTGCAAAGTATCTTAATAACTATGTTTAATTGCACATTTTCAATCCAAGATCGGATCACTGAAAAATAATAAATTGGATAGTTAAGATACATCCTAAATCCAATATTGCATAGATCGAGATATCTAACTAAATTGGAGGTGTAACAGTGATGCAATCTAGATATGGGATATTAAAGACTTCAAATCCAAGAGTGGATATGTCTTTTATATTAAAGGTATAGTTGTATGTTCTTAATATAACTCAAAGTTAAAAACTTTGAATAAATCAAATAGGAAAGTCAATAGAGTTCACCTAATGGACATTTTAAAGTAAGTCTACACTAGTGCCACTAAAGAAAATGATATTGCTAACAATAAGCAATCTTAGGGCACAAAGTATACAGTTGCTCTCACTTGGAGAAATCTCTGCAGAGTGTAATATTTCTAAACACAACCTTGTGGCCACATATAAAATTGAAGGTTGTATTAGAGAGCAATTGTACAGTTCATCGAGGGGAATGGGGCTTAAAAGCCGAAAGCTAATGAGTCATCTTAATGGAAACCTAACCTAGTTGACTGGAGATCCCAAGATCTAGATTCAAAGGGATAACATAAATTCTGAATGGCTTACCAGAAGCACTGGGAAGATATAAATCTTCTGCCTATTTTTATGATGAGACAGTGCTACCTACAACGAGGATTATGATAAGTTACGCTTTTGATGACTCTTATACCTTGAAAATTCAAGTGGTGTATGGTAGGATACTCTTAATAAGAAGTCACCTATATGAGTGTGAAGTGGGGCCGCTTCTATGAGAACTATAAAGGCTAAGTTTTCTGGAGCACTCATTGAATACCAGGAGTTGTTCAGGGCCAAAATGAACACAACAATGAGAACCAACTTTATGAGGAAAGGTACTGTGTGTTTATTATTGTCTTGGTTTACACAAACGGCTAAACAGTTCAAGACATCGCATTCACTGGTTAGCCAATAAATCCGATAACAATACACTGGGGAAGGTTCAAAGCCAAAAGCTACCTATCCTGATGCAGTAACTTTCCGACTATACTCTCTCTAGTGTCTGCACAATCATCTTTTGCATTTTACGCAAATTTCCATTCATGTGGGGGATTGTTAGAAACGGGGGCATTAAAACCATAAACTTTGGATGAGGTTTGGAATAGATTCCGCTAATAATTTTTTGCGGATCCCTAGATGAGCGCGTTTCTCTCCGCAAGGAGATAAACGTGGTATATTTACTTTCTTAAATCCGTTTCCGGGTGAATGAGAAATTATCTCCAAATTGTGGTGTTTTGATAAGCCTAAATGGGTATGCAAAATGTGGGAAGTGTTTATCCTACATGGAAAAAATATTGAAACTAATTGAAATTTAAATAAGCCAAATTTGGGCTTGGGCTTGGGCTTGGGCCTAATTGTAAAGTCCAATTATTTTTTTTACTAAATGGAATCTTGGATTGGGCCTTTAATTTTGGGCTAGGCTTATTTAAATGGGTGGTTAGTTTTTGAATTTAAATTAAATGTTAGTTTTTTTTTTTTTCAAAGGGTTGTATCTATTTCTAAAGGGTTGCATCTATTTTTCAAAGAGTTGCATCTGTTTCTAATGGGTTGCAACTTAAAACCAACAGGCATAACTATTCATGTGAACCATTGCAACCTATTGGAGTAGATGTGTCTATTGGTGAACAGACACTATGTGAACCATTGCAACCTATTAGAGTAGATGTGTCTATTGGTGAACAGACACCATGTGAATCATTGCAACCAATTGGAGTGGATGTGTCCAATGTGAAGAGACACATATAAATGGTTGTGTCCAATGATGAAGAGACACACCCAATCCAAAAAGGCACATTAATTAAAAACTATTTTTTAGTTTTTTCCAAAGGGTTGCACCCAATCCGAAAAGGCACCTTGTTGCCTATAAATACCCCCCTTTGGATCATTTGCAAATCATTCATTTTCATTTTCTTCTATCTCCCTCTCTAGACTTGAACCCAACCCAAGTGGGTTCAAACCATAGGTTAAGTGGTTCGAATCACTTAGACCCTAATCCAATTTCATAAAGCCATATTAAGATTGGTCTGAACCATTTGGTTTGGATTGCACCCAATTCATTATTTATATAGTATAGATGTATTTTTGAGTCAGAGAGAGTATTATACAGAGAAGGTTCACCGTATCCACGAGTTTGTAGTGCTGTTACTGGTGGATGTAGACCATTGTATCCTAAGAGATAGACGCCACTGAATCCGTTAGCACCATTACGGGGCAAATTTGTCTTAAGGACATTGTATCCAATACTAGTTTCACTCCTGATTATTTATTTATTATTATTATTTTATTATTTTATTTTGCATATTTAATTAAATATAGAGTTGCATATTTAATTAATGATTTCTTAGCATATTGTTAATTATCTCATGACATATTAGTATAAGATTTGTTATATCTTAAATGTCTTATGAAACATATATTTACCAACATGTACCGCCCAAACAAATCTCTGGTAGCTCAGCTCCAACCCCCATGCCAGCTCGGTCATTTGTTGGCTTGATAAAGTCCCACCACTCCCAAACGAGGCATAGAGAACTGATTCCCTATTTTGCATGTCTAGCCAATGCAATACACTACTCCTCGAATCGGACAGTAGAACTAGTCTGATCAGTGGCCCAACGGGGTAAACCGGCACATCTTTAATAGTCTCTCTCAAATTTCTGAGGGCCCCAATTGTTGTGCTCTCCAGATCCTGCCATGTGTTCACTAAAACTCCATCAGCGGTCAACATCTGAGACCCAATACGCACGTAATCATCAAACATCTGACCGGTCCGGTCCTGGACCTCAACAAGAAGGTCATTGACCAGACCGGCTTGCAACCAAGAATTCTCAATGGTTCATTTTCGCTGCCAAACTCATCACTTTCAACATTTTTGGTCATGGCAATAGCATACAGTGTTATAGCCACGAATCATGCAGAGGTGGGCAGGTAGACATACTTTGACATTCCGAACTCGTCGGCAACGGCCAGAGACTCCGTGCCGAAGAAGTCAACGACGAGGACGGTGGGAGGGGTGTCCATAGAGTTTATTGTGGACCGGAGGTTGGGTATTGAGTGGTGCATCATGGCTAGGAGTTGGGTGAAAATGGTAGCGTTGGGGTCCACCAAGCCGAAAATATCTACCGGTGGGAGCGTGACGACGTCAAAGGGATTGGAAGTGAGATATTTGGATTGTGTTGGTGATGTTTGGGTTGAGATGGTGAAGACGGTGACATCAAAGTTGTGGTGGGTGAAGAGGCGGTTGGAGAGCTCGAGGACATGGATGAGGTGGCCAAGGTCGGGGGTGGCAAGTAGGGCTGCGTGAGGCTTTGTGGTTGCCATGGCTGAAGAATGGATCTTTCATCAGATATATAAATATATGTTTATAGAGAAACAGAGGAGGAAAGACAGAGAGAGTATGGAAACAATGAAAATGAAAGCTAGAGATTTACTACTTAGGGTGTTAATGCATGCATGAGTCCATGACTGGTTGTGGAATATATAAGCATTCATAGTCGGTTGTAAAAATTCCTTTCAAATTTTTCTTGAAACCAATAGAAGTTTTATGACGCCAAGAAAGTCCTATTTCACATTTAAAAAAGACCAAAAGAAAGAACAAAGAAGAGAGTTAACATGTACATACTTTGCTTATTCCACGTCTTGGTTAACAAACAATTTTTTTGTCATCTATATCTTCAACTCCTCCTTCAAACAATGAAAAAAGCAAGTCCAAGGTCCAAGTCTTCTGGCAAAGACCATGCAGAGATGAACCAACCTATTTCGAGAAATATTTTATTGCTATTATTGTATTGGTGGCATAGTATTATTAATTTATTAAATAGAGTAAAGTGCACTAACTCTCTTAAACTATGACCCGATTGTAAGAAACCTCTGAAGTAAGTAAAACCCCTTAAATCATCATTTTGTTGCATTGAATGACAAAAGGTTATCGGAAAAATTAAATTCCCTATTAGCCCTTTAGTTGAACGAAGTCGTTTTAAGTTCAATCTATCTTCAGTTGCTTATGTGGCACATGCAATTTCAATTTCCAATAACAAACTGATAGCACATCAATTTTTCTTTTTCTTTTTTTTTTTTTTTTTTTTTGTTCGACTGTGTAGCAAAACCTCCATTGTTCCAGAGGATAACACACGGGAGGTAAAGAGAGCGTAATTGCTTTTGTAACGATGGCAATCTGTGTTCAAGTGGTGGCATACAAGCTCGCATCGCATCGGCTTCACTTATGTTCCTAACAGGTTCCAAAAAAAAAAGAAACTTTGTGTCTCTAAATATGGCTTCTAAAGACCCAGCTTCTTTTTGGGTTGCTTCATTGTCCTTTTGTCTTCACTTTCTCTCTTCACCTTCTTCCTTATCAGGTGAACCAAAATTTCATTCTCTTGTTACCCAGTTAAATTTCATCAGATTTCGCTAACAAAAATCCCAAAATTAAGCTCTAATTGATTCACACAATTTTTTTTGTTTTTTTTTTTGTTTTTATTTTTATTTTTTTGGGGCGTCTTTTGAAATTCATCCAATTATGTGGAATTTTTTAGCATTAAAATTGAAGTTTGGGCATGATTCAATTTTGGGTTTCCTTCAGTTGATTCAATTTGGTGTTTGTTTAGTGAATTAAATGATTGATATAAGGATTTTGTACTGGAAATTGATATAGGGAATTCGTTCATTGATAACAAATTAAGCAGAATGATGGAATTGGAGTAGTTCGAAAACTGCTAATCGCACGTGTTAGGATAGGCACTTCGACTATAACCAATTATATGCAGTGTTATATCCGCGTTTTGGCAAGGATCTGACGCTTTCCGGTACATTTCGCAATTTCAGACCTCTCTGCTTCGCTGGACGACGCAATCCTCCACATCGTGGCTGACCAACTCTCTGATCAATACCCACCAATAATGAATAATGGGATGCGCAAATAGACTTGACACTGGCATCGTCAACAATAATAATAATAATAAAATAATAATAACGGTCATGCATGGCTCTACAATCCTTCACTTTGTTTATTGGTTCAATTTTCTTCTTATATTTGTTACAGATTAATGTACTGTGAATGAAAATGAAGAGAGATTTTATTAGGAAGGGGCCACAATTTAGTGATTGGGTACGTAAATGAAGGCATGTGGCTATACCTATATGACATTAATTGGGAGACTTTTAAGGCCTATATATATATATATATATATATATATATATATATAGATTAGGATTAATAGATAGTTATGAAAAGATGTGAAGTTGACAGGATCATGTTTTCATAACTATCTATATGCATGTGTATACATTCATGTGAAGTTGACATGACCATGTTTTCATAACTATCTACTAATCCTAATTAGTGTACTTTTTTTTTTTCTATTGAAGGCTTTCCATTGCTCTTATTGTTTTTTATGTTGTTGTCCTCAATACATTTAGGCTGTATTTGGTGACATGGAATTAGAGTATTGAAATTGAAATTGGTTGATGTGATACCCCTCGGATCTGAGATGCGGGTTGAACAGGTCCAAGCCTAAACCTGAGGGAATATCAAACAATCAATATGTTAAAACGAACACGGAATACAAAAATGATTTAAGAAATAAACATTATAAGCTGAAAGAAACTAAAATAAAAATCCTCAAATTATAATTATTAAAACTCGATAATCCAAATTCCATAAGTTTAACAACTCGGGAATTCATCCAGTGGACCCCTTATTAAAATTTCAACTGAAATTAATCTAATACTAAACATAGAAAAGATTCCTACGTAGTCGGAGGAATGAGTGTATGTATCTGCTCTACACGTCCAAGCTCTAACTCTGGAACTGACGAATACCTGAAAAATAAAGAGTGGGTTAGGCCGACATGCAAGTCCTGATCTACTACAATCCAAATAGGAATCTGATAAGCAGATACATCCTAGAAAGACTCAACAATATCTAGAATATTCTATATATGTATATATAGTACACACTATAGGACGCTCGCTAGTCCAATAGGTATGTCTCAGCCTGAGTAGAGATACCATGCAAATCGCATGTAATGTGGTCATATGTATCTGGACCTACCAGGGAACAAAACCCACTGTCCAGTTATCCATCCTAGGCGATATACGCACCCTAACCATGGTCCTGAGACTCAAACTCATACCATGGCACCATAACATAAATATATAAAGTTAGTTCAAGGTGTGTCATTCAAATAGTTTATTGACCTGACACATAGTTATAAGTAGGACTTAACTTTTGGTAGTTAATTCATCTTATTTTAGAATAGGTAGGACTTAGTGTTTGAACTAATCCATCCCTAATATAGGTAGGTCTTAGTGTTTTAACTAAGCCGTCCCCAATATGTCACTGTCCCATACCGGTACATATACATACATATAAGTAGAACTTCACCTTTATAGCTAATCCACTTATTTCAGAATAGGTAGGACTTATTGTTTGAACTAATCCATACCTAGTAAGCTACCGTCCCATACCGGTGCATACAATCCTCCAACCAACATAGTTGACAAAACAGTAATACATACTAGTCAACCATATTCCAGATTTAGCATAAATATAGTCCAACATGTATATGGCCAATTAATGCATTCAGTAAGATTTAGAAATCACATTCCAGTTCTTTATATAAGTGAAATAAGGCTGCACATTTATTTCCTCCAAACAATACCACAATTGATGCAATAATCAAAAGAGGTCACCATCAATTAATTTCAACTAAACATGCTTAGGTTTCTAGCTAAATAACTATATACTTGTAACACAGTTGAGACATGATTGATAATTTTAAATCATACAGAAGAAACCAAATTTGCTCAAAGCAGTAAGCAGTTTTAAGATTAATTAACCAACCTTTCATATACAATTTCATTGTTTAATCCTTAAGTTATTTCCTGTTTCAACACAATAACATTAACATGCTTCCAAACAGTTTCTACATCTCTGAAACAGTTATACAAATCACCCACACCCATTGAAACAACCCAGAAACCTTTCTACAGACCAAACTAGACCCAAAACCACGGAAAATTAGAGCTGGCTCCCCCCTTAGTGGAGCAGCCTCCACTTCATGTGGAGCCGGCTCTACCCCTTGTAGAGCTGGCTCCTCAAGCCCTAGAGCCGACTCCCTCTTTTGGTGAGCCGGCTCTCTTCCTTTGAGAGCCGTCGTCCGTTTCTGTTTGTTGTCTCCAACTCCGATGACTAACAGAGCCTCTGTAATGTGTTTTAATTCTCTTTCTAGGTTCAATCTTAGTCCTAGATAAATTTAAACCACTGAGATCCAATCCTAACATGCATAGAAACACAAGTTTTAAAACCACGATTACAGAACCACCGTTAGAAATCTTTTAAGCAAATCACAACAGACTTTATGCAGATTACTTTAGTACTATTAAATACTATTCTAAGCACTTGTTCTAGAGTTCAAACTCAATTCCAGATTAAGTACAAGGCATCCAAACATATTACTAATCTTAATTCAAGCAATGCTTAATCGTAAACTACATAAGGAACAAATAACAGAAAAATCAACAATCGTGCAAAACAGTTAATTCACGAGATTAAACAAATTCTTATATGCATAAAACATGTTATTATGTTTGTTTACAACCATTTTAACCTTTATTAAATCCCTGGAGTCTAACTAGGCATGCACAAACACGAATTAAAGGGAAAGAGAAGAATAGTGACTTGCTTTGAGTTTCGGTTTTGAAACTCTAAACCACCGTCTTTGAAACTTCTGTCCACGTCTGAGACTCCTGTTCTACACCTCA